CTCTTTATTCCATCAACACTAAAATGTAAATGTCCAATCCTCACTGTGCTGGATCACAGAAATAGCACCAGAAGCAGTTTCTGTCTGTGATGTTGGGTTTGAAATTCACCGCTATATTGTGTTTAAAGACAATCCTTCCTTTCCTCAGAAACTCTGGACATATCTACAATTATAATGTGTTGTAAGTGTGTCGTGTTTATTTTTGTGTTTAATCCAATTTTGCTTTTGTTCTTTCAGTCAGTCTTTAAGATTTAGAACTCTATTGTTTTTATCTCTGTTTATGTCATCTTACATTATTTCTCCCTCAGCCTGATCATTAGTGGATTATGTCCACCTGTGCTTCCTCTTTTGGTTTGTAATTTAAATATAAATCCTTTATTGTCCAACAATGGGGAAATTCCCTCTCTGCATTTAACCCCTCCCCTTGGGGAGCAGTGGGCTGCCATTGTGTGGCCCAGGTAGCAGGGTGGGGGTGAAGGGTCTTGCTCAGGGACCCAGAGTGTGTCAGAACTCAGAACCTCTGGGATCCAAGCCAATGCTCTAACCACTAGGCAACCCCCCCCCCCCCCATTTCCAACTGTTTCTCTGTCCCAAATGAAATACCTGGCCGTAACCGTGACGTTTCTCTGCTGTTTGGGTTTTTCTCATCAGTGTTCCTCAGCAGCATATACTTCTGAGAGGATTCTATATTCAAACCACCTCATGTCCACACTCTATGCCCCCCCCCCACCCCTTATATACAGCTATAAACCCAGGTCTTTGTTCTACCTTTGGTGTCTGGTCTTATAAATGTTGTAATGAAATAAATGGTGGGAAGCAGGATCAGATGCTCGTCTTTATTGAAACAGAAGAATCAGACTCAGAAACGAGAGATGATCTGAGAGACAGAGATATAATTTCATTGAGAATATGATGAGAAATACATCAGTGATTATTTCTTCTCACTGAGCTCAGAAACGACTAAAGCACAGGTACTCTGGGGTGCCTTTGTTTCCCTCGTTGAGATTCTTGTCGATGACCGTTGCCTTGGCGATCTTAAACATCTGTGGTGCTGCTGGGTCGAGGAGCATGGTGATCATTGTGATGGGATCTTTGCTGCTCTCTTTTTTGTACCAAAGAAACACATGAGGCCCAGCGGTTCCCTCGTTCAGGTTGGTTGGCGCTCGATCATACCCTTGACTCTTA